CAAGGGGTATAACAGAATTGGCATTGGGCCTATGTGACAGGCTTTCTAAATATAATTTAAGCAGAGAAATGCTAATATGTATGAGCGTGTATGTGTGTACTACATGTGGGTTGAGAGTTGAATATCGATTAATATTTCTTTTGATGACAGTGCTAACAGTGAAGGTACATCATATTCTCTTTTATGATGTTAGGAAGCTATATTGTTATTTTCCACATCTCTGCTATGAGCTTGTCCACATGTAAAGGGGAACTTTAAATTTCACCTTGTGGTCTTCAGCTGGACAAGTTACTGAAAAACACTTGGTTTGGACTAAATAAATATGAAGAGCACAGCCCCATTTATGACCCTGAAAATATTCTGACTTTTTTTGGACTAATTTGTCTTTGTTCCCTTGAAGTATAATGAAGAAATGCTTTGGACTTAAAGAGGTATATTGTAATCTTTATGTATGTTATTATTGTTGTTGCTGTTGTTGTTGTTGTCAGTGTGTGTGAATGTTTGACTGTGCAGTGTAGTTCTTGCATTGACAAATCCCACCCTGCCCAAAGTGTAATACATAGTTATAGACAGAATACAGAATACGATGCTGGAAAGAATAGTGTATATATGACATATAGGTTATAGTTATCATTGATAGTCTAGAGTATGGAATGCATCAATATGGAATGCTACAGACACCTGCTCATTCCTAATGTGCTCTAATAAGTGTTTATGTGTGTGTTTGTTTGTGTGTTAGGAGGGAAGGTCTGTTTGAGAGTGAGACGTGAAGTGTGTGTTTATAGTTTTGGGAAAGAGACAGTATGTTTGTCTTCTCTTACAAAAAGTGTACCATGATTTTGGACATGGTGCCATGGTATTTTTGAAGTATGTTGGATGACCATGTAAATTATATAGTACAGGATTATGGAGATCATAAAGTAGCATGGTACAGTACCAAGTACTGTTTAATTACCATTTGATACCATAGTACCACCACAGTACTTTTTTGTAAGGGCTGAGTGTGTGTTGATCTCTTGAACAGTGCAATTATTCCTGTTTTGTCATGCAAACTAAAAAAGACTCGCTGACAGGAGAAGATGCATATTCTATACAAGTGGCTAAAATTAGATAATATACGACTATGTCATCACAAGATGTATAAGAATACAGAGCAATATTTTTTATCCATGCGCCATGTTATTAATTTAGCTTTATAAGTGATACTTAAATACCAGCCATCTGGGATACAACATCCGACAATCATGACAATGTTGTCCATGATTATGACCCTGCAAAGTCAATGGAATAGATGTTGGAGTATACAATCTTTTACAGTATAAAACTGTGTAATAATCAGTTGTTATTTTGTGTAAACCTTCAGATGGCTAATGTGTTTGTCTGACCCTGGTGAAAAAATCATCAAAGACCTCTTCCATGTAAAAAGCATTGAGAATATGTGGAATTAATATAAATAAATTGTTATGATTATAAGCACAGTGGCATCTGAGAGTTTGGTCAAGCATTTTTTATTTCATATTAAGGAATGTTATTAAACCTTTTATGCTTCTATTTGCAGTAGTTCATAATATGCATAAGCAATGCATAATTAATTTGGTAAATATAATTTACAATTGTCTTACACAAATAATATACACATTTATCTAACAAAAATACAACTAAAAAAAGTTCACCTTTAGATGTCCTCTCCTTAGACTTTGCAGATCCATATACCAGAAAAAGTGGCTGCAGTGTGCACTTTTTGCACCACTGCTAAATGGAATTGATAAAATAACAACTGTTTCCTGTTTTCCAAACAATCCCCCATCTTCCATTGGCTGGACAAAAAGATAGCCCTACCCCAAACTCATTTGCTCGTCAGGTTTGTTTGTTTGTTTTTTTGCACAAAATAATGCTAACATTTCCTTACAGTATATAATAACCTAGATATTTTATCATATATTTGGTTAAAATGGCAGGGACCCTCAGGGAGGAATGTTGTCATTTTTTTAATCTCTATTCTTAGATTTTCAGTTATGTAAAGTTTTAACTGTACCACAAATTGTATTTCCTGCCTTGTTGACTACAGATCTGCTGAATTCTTAACAAATGATTGTTTGCACCGTATTCTATAATCTGTAATATCTCCACTTATTGCTTATCTTATTTGTATTTTTATCAAGGTCGAGCAGCAGGACCATGCACATTTACTTCCAATTAGACACTTTTATTGTTTTCTAACGTTATTAGGGCGTATGCACACCCGCACTTCCTGATTTTGCTGAGTTAGATGTGTTCCTAGGTCAACATATTTTGTTGACACTGGAACAACATTTTATTACAAACATTTAGTCTTGACCATGTCCCTACACCTAAATCTAACCTTAACCATTAGTATTCCCTAAAATCAGAGGAAATGATAGATGAATGACACTGATGTACAAGCACCAAACACGGATTGTAAGCCTAAATTTAGGTGTTTGCTGAATTTAGGTGTCAACAAAGATGTTGATCCAGGAATATGTCGTACTTGGTAAAATCAGGTTCTGCATGCACGCACACCCACAGGCCTGTTGTGTTACAAGACCTATAGACTTGTGATAATATTCAAGCATCGAGATTATTCCAAACACTAATTTAATTCAAATAATTTTTCCGCTCCTAAATAATCTTCCCAATTGTCTTTTAGACATAGTTACGTATGAATCACATGTGACATTAAATGTTTGTAGAAGGCGTTCACTATTATTTAACTTCTAGAGCGGACACAACGACAGCATTTTCATCGAAAATTATTGACTTTCACTTCATTCCGGTTTTATGTAGACTGCTTCTTAGTGTGGCAAGCCATTTTAACATTTAATCCAGGGTTTCAAATTCAGTTCATGTTATTCTGCAGAGTTTAGCTCTAACCCTAATTAAACATACCTGAATCAGTTAATCAAAATCTTTAGGATTACTAGAAACTTCCAGACAGGTGTTTTGGAGCTGGTTGGAGCTACACTCTGCAGGAAAGTAGCCCTCCAGGACTGGAGTTTGACCCGTGATTTAATCTATAAAACATACTAGTATCTATTTTCATGTTACTAGTACTCATTTTTTTAGGTACTAGTATCTATTCCATTGGGTACTAGTACTTATTCGTTGGCTATTAGTGATTATTCTTCAGATACTAGTGCTTATTCTTTAGGTACTAGTGTTTATTCTTCAGATACTAGTGCTTATTCTTTAGGTACTACTATTTTTTAAATATACTAGTATTTATTCATTAGATAATAGTTCTTTTTTTGTATTAGTACGTATTTCAAAAGGGATTATTCTATTAATTATTTTATTGTTAGTAACACATTTCAAATTTTTGCCATTTACTTCTATGGGGATTTGCCATGCAGATATCAGCTATTTCAGTTGACTAGTATGCATTCCAATTGTGACTATATATTTTTAAATATTACTAGTAAGCATTCATTAGATACTAGTACTTATTTCTTGAATGTGTTTACTTACTAGCATATATTTAATAAATACTAATAGTTATTACTTATGCACTAGTACTTATATTTCAGACACTATTATCTTTTGTAAATATTACTATTAACAGTTCTTATCTTACTAGTCACAACTGATTTTTTTGTTAACTCATGTTATAAGTAGTCAGAATGTCCAAGGTAGAATTAAATTAAAAGTCTTACTACTTACTAGTCTTACTAAAGAAAAAAATCTTAATATGAAAATAAGATACTAGTTGTTTTAAGGATTGAATGTTAAACATCTTGTCATATTTTATTGAATTGAGTTTTAATTTCAAAGTCAACCTAAAAGTCTTGTTTATACTTTCACATGCTACACACACGCACGCACGCACGCACGCACGCACGCACACACACACACACAAACAAACAAATAAGAGAGAAAGAAAACTAGAAAAACTAATCTCTAATCTCTCCTCTAATCTCATTTGGTAAGTTTGACAGACTTCTTAAATTGCTCTTTGCATATTGATATCATATTCTTTTTACAGAACCATGGAGGGACACTCCCTGGGGGTAAGTTGAAAAAAATCTACTAACAAAAATATATAAATGTTTGTATACCAAGTATTGTGTAATTTGCTGGATTGGACAGATTTTAAGAATTGGCTCCTGTTTAATTCACAAATTAATTTAAACTGAATTGGCCTTGACAGAAATGTTAAATGGGAATTTTAATTGGAGTGGCAAGATAAGTACTGTACTGAAATCAGTTAAATTAATTACAGGCAATGGCATTCTAGAAAACGAAATGTTTGTTCACCTCATAAAACTAATTTATTAAAAACAATGAAATATAAAAGAAAAAACTCCATTCCCTTTCTGTCTTTCATGCCGACGTGTGTCGGAACGCCATGGAACGGACCTTGCTCCGCCTTGCTGCGGGCTCCCGGCCAAGGGTACGCTGGACATTGTCCCGTCAGTACTGCTAGTGCAGTGTCTATCACTTCCCAACCTGTCATGTTGGCTGGTCAGGACAATCCCGCCCAGGTACAGTGGTGTCCTCTTCACCTCAGTGTGAGGAGAGAATGCGGCGGTCCTGTGGCAGGACATTGCGAACCTTTTAGTGAAGGAGATTCACACCATCAGAATGAAGAAGGGTTTCTACAACCCTTGAAAGGCGGTGGTTTCAGACCGATCCTAGATCAATGAGTGCTGAATCGGGCCCTTCACAGGCTCCCGTTCAGGATGCTCACGGTCAAACAAATGCTCACATGTGTCAGACACCAGGACTGGTTTGTGGCAATAGACCTGAAGGACACGCACTTTCATGTCTCTATCCTTCCTCGGCACAGACCATTTCTTCGGTTTGCCTTCGAAGGTCGAGCATATCAGTACAAGGTCCTCCCTTTCGAGGCTGTCCCTGTCTCTTTGCGAAGATAGCAGAGGCCGCCCTGGACCCGCTAAGGGAACAGGGCATTCGCATCCTCAACTACCTCGACAACTGGCTGATTCTAGCTCAGTCCCGGGAGTTGGTTTGCGAACACAGGGACCAGGTCCTTTCACATCTGGCTCAATTGGGACTTCAGGTCAACTGTGAGAAGAGCAAGTTCTCCCCTGTGCAGAGCATTTCTTTTCTCGGGGTGTGGAGTTGGACTCGGTCACCATGACAGCACATCACTCTCAAGACCGTCCTAAGTCAGTGCTGAATTGCTTGAGTTTGTTCAATCACAAGACAGCGGTTCCACTGAAATACTTTCAGAGGCTCCTGGGCAATGTTCCCTCTAAGCTGTGCACGTGCACGGCCGCACACTTCTTAGACCGCGCAGAAGAAATAATATGCCGCGCACAGGACACAAGCAAAAAAATGAGTTGGGAAAGCCATTTGATTGAATTCTAGTAAATGCAAAATAATTGCAATGCTCGGGCAAACCGCTATAGATTTGGTGTCACTATAGAACCAGTTAGAACCAGTGAATGCGGTTTACAGGTATCATAGAAAGAGAATGATGTGTGCCAAATTAGTCGCTGTAGAAATCGAATATTTTAATGGTTGCGGACGAAATAGCTCAACACGAGAGCCAACGCAAACGCAGTGACATGCTAAATAAAATGTCATTGTGTTTAAAGAAGAGTGGCTTGATTAAGTGGTGAAAATAGCAGGTGATGGGCACAGAACGATAACAAAAACTCTGAGACATTTACAGTCACACACAGGTATAGTAGTGTGCAAACTCTACTACTCGAAACTCTACTTAGATTACTATATAAGAATTCACATTCACGTTTTTTTTTTATATTTAGCTTACAGATCTTAGTTTAAATGCTTCAGTTTGTTTTTATATTATTATTATAAACCTAATAAATAACTGACCCCAAAAAGGGAATTCATGAGCAATATCTGCTTAATTTTTTTCATATTATATTGTATTATATTATAATACATTATATAATATTATATTATATTATTACAAAGAATTGAACTGTTGAAAATGGTTCTTCATAGAATTTTTTGGTAACACAGCACAGTAAAAAAAAAATCTCAGGTAACCTAAAATTTGCATTATTTAGTTACATAAAGGGTCAAATCAAATATAAATAGCACATTAAAGTTAAAAGTTACACACTTTTTGTGTGTGCACTGTACAGGTCTGGTATAAAGAATGTTTTTGCTCAAGTGGCCGAAATGTCCACCCAATAGAGAAAAGTTTTACTCAGCAAAAAAAAAAAAATTAGAGGGAACATTGCTCCTGGGGCATATGGCATCCACAGCCGCGGTTATGCCATTAAGTTTGATGCATATGAGACCACTACAGCATTGGCTTCAGGCTCGAGTCCTGAGATCACACCGATCTGTCGCCGCCTCTTCAGTCCTTGGTCAGACCTTGTGTTTCTACAGGCAGGAGTTCCCTTAGGCCAAGTGTCCAGGCGTATTGCTGTCACAACAGACACCTCCAAGACAGGTGACACCTCCACATGCGCCGTGTGCAACGGGCATGTGGTTTTGGGCTCCTGGACAGGACCTGGCTGTGCTGGCGAGTTCCCCTGAAGAAGGACCTCCTGCACAATCTGGCAGCCACGCCCAGAGCTCTGGAACCTCCATGTCTGGTCCCTAGACAGGACGTGGAGAAATTCAGAGGCCTATCTCCAGCAGTGGTAGATACCATCTCTCAGGCTAGAGCTCCTTCTACCAGGCAGCTCTGTGCCCTGAATTGGCACATTTTCACTCTGTGGTGTTCCACCCGAGGCAAGGACCCTCAGAGGTGTGGCCTTGGGTCAGTGCTTTCCTTTTTACAACAAGGCCTTGAAAAGCGCCTGTCAGCCTCCACTCTGAAGGTTTACATGGCTGCTATATAGCAAATCATGACCTCGTGGATGGCAGGTCTTTGGGAAAGCATGACCTGATAGTTAGGTTCCTGAGAGGTGCCCGGACTTCGAATTCTCAGAGACCATGTCCCATCCCCTCTTGGGATCTTTCTGTGGTTCTGTGATCTTTCTGAAGAAAGATCTGTTTGAGCCTTTGCAATCAGTAGAGCTTAGCACCCTCTCTCTGAAGACGGCCCTCCTGATTGAGCTCACATCTCTCAAGAGGGTGGGGGACCTACAGGCTCTCTCAGTTAGTGATTCGTGCCTAGAATTCGGGCCGGACTACTCTAACGCTGTCTTGAGACCCTGGCATGGATATGTGCCCAAAGTTCCCACTACTCCCTTCAGGGACCAAGTAGTGAACCTGCAAGCATTTCCTCCAGAGGAGGGAAACCCAGCCTTGTCTCTGTTGTGTCCAGTACACCATTTGCATATTTATCTGAACCGAAGTCAGAGTTCCAGACGATCTGAACAGCTCTTTGTGTATTTTGGAGGTCAGCAGAAGGGGAAGGCTGTGTCCAAAAAAGAATGGCCCACTGGATTGTGTATGCCATTTTTCGGACATATCAGTCCAATAGTGTGCCATGTCCGCTGGGAGTGAGGCCCCACAGCTGCAGTGACCTCTTGTGGTGAGTATCGCTCCGTGATGGAGACCTGAGGTTATCTACCCTGTACGTTGGAAGGTTATGAGTGAGGGTTGTTGCATTTGCTGTTGGCATACTCAAGCCTGCCCACACTTGCCCCGCATTATCTCATGACGCAGTGCAGTAGTTGTAGCGTTTAGTTTAGGGACCCCCATACTGTCATTCTGACACACGTCGGAGTGAACGACAGAAAGGGAATGTCTAGGTTACGTATGGTAACCCTCGTTCCCTGATGGAGGGAACAGAGACGTGTGTCCTGCTGGCCACAACTCTGTACTGACCGCTGATTTGGCCGAAAAGCTACCTCAGCTCCTCAAAATAAAACTAAAGTACAGCTTGCATGCGGGACGGCCTTATATATCCGTATGTACGGGCATGGCCTTACATGCAAATTTTGCATGCCAATTTTCATTGGCCTATTCTGATACTCTCAGAGGTGATTGGGGCTCTCAAGGATGACCCCCATACTGTCGTTCCAACATGTCTTCATTCCCTCCATCAGGGAACGAGGGTTACCATACGTAACCGAGACGTTACTCTTGGCAGCATTTCAAACATTGTTTATAATCTATAAATTTCTGTTTCATTTCCTTTCATATTAATTCTCCGTCCATAAATTGAAAGTTGAATTACAATTATACGTCCTTTTTGCTATCTCGATTCAAATTCAGGAATTTAACTGAAATGACTAAGGCATTCTCAATTTAATTGACACACAAACCTTGTAGTTTACTATATGTATACTACTTTGTTTTTGAACAGAGAGAAAGATCATTTGGAGAAAACACTGAAAGACTTTGGGCTGTGCGATCCAAATATTAAGTATGCAAGGATCCTAGTAGTTGGAGAAATTGGAGCAGGAAAGTCCAGCTTCATCAACTCAGTCAATAGTGTTTTCCAAAGAAGAATCACAAATGAAGCCCTTGTTAACAAAACAACTGACACAAGCAAAACCTTCACAAAATTAGTAAGTATATGAGCATACTTATGAGGATTACATTTCTAAATTAAAAATAAGAAGCGGTTTATAAAATTTTATATATGGCTTGCTCATTGTTTACACATTATAAACCTTTAGAAATAACTGCCTGTAGCAAACCCTTGGATCCGAGAGCCTCAACTGATGCGTGAGGTTTCCTTAGATTCACCATGACAATGCGATGTATTCAAACAGCTTCTTTATTCCGTACACCGTACAACGACTCACAGCACCTCACAGCACTGTGAAAACTGTATTAACATATACAAATGACAAAATTCATAATTCAAACATAGACTCATATACATGTCGAATTGCATAAATAAGCATCACAAACAACACATTACATTGCACAACAAACATTAATTCATACATGCATTTCTTTAATTACAATCAACATTCCTCGCTACACTCACCAAGGAATGCAAATCAAATATGATAATCCTTTCGTCATCATCAAACGTGCGTCAAGTTCACTTCAGAATGATGCAAGTATAAAATCCACATTAAAACAATGTAGGCTCAAACAATCAGCGTCTAACATTCATGCCCGCCCGCCATCTTATTAAGCTTACAAGCCCACCTGATCACTATGGTGTCCGAGTAGGACAATTTCAGCACAAGTATTCGCAATTTCTGGTTACAATTCATACACACACACACACACACACACACACATACACACACACAAGGTACATCAAAGATATTCAAGATACAGAAAATCTATCAAATTGCTAAATAAATTACACAAACATCTTCAATGTTTCATAACCCAATCCATACTCGCTTCTTACATTAAGAGCATACAGTATTTCAGTGGTCCCTTACACTGCCTATTTAGTCCAATTTGTAAGGAAATGTGTATGCACATATTATGTTTTTAATAAGCATATGTGAAAGAGATTATGGATGTCCCATTACTCAATTTTTCATTTTTTTCACTTTTATAAAATTGTTTCTGAAAAAAAAAAAAAAAACATGCTCTCAGATGTAGCATGACAAATTTTCCTCCAAAATGTTCTAAACAATCGCAGCTTTCTGTGCCAATCCCCACTTGTAACCAGTGGTAGAAATGGCTAAGATTCACTGGTGGGATCCTAGTTGGAGAGTTTTTTTTTTCTCTCCGTCTCGTCATTCTGAGGCACTTTCATTTTGGTCTCTGGTTCAATGGAACCTGGAAATTGACAAATATATATTTACTTGTCACATTCATGCTTTATATCTTGCAGTACAAAACCTATTACATAAGAAATGGACAATCTCCTATGCCTTTTGTCTTAACTGACACCATGGGCTTAGAGTCTGACAATTTACATGGCATACATCCAGAGGATATTGAGAAAGCCATGGAGGGCTACATAAAGGAAAGATACAAAGTGAGACCTATTGCTTTACATTAACACACATGAACTTGTGGACTGACTTTTTAAAATCTTGAAATGTTATTCCAAATATTCTCCATAGTTGTTGTTCTTGATTTATATGAATCAGTTGGATATAACCAGATCCCTTATAATCTCTGTAATGCATTCTTTTTCAAGTTCAATCCAGAATCTCCCATTACTTCTCAAAATAACAGCTACAGAAGTAATTCAAGCCTTCAGGATCAGGCATACTGCCTAGTCTTTGTCATTGCAGCTGACAAAATCTCAGTGGCAGCTGATGATAATATCTATAAGAAAGTGAAAAATATTAAGAGTAAGGCAGATGAACTAGGTGAGTATAAAGGAAAATGTTGGAGATGGTCTTCATTATCTTTGTCATAGTAAATGGACTACTTGCACAAATACTTACGTGTTCTACTTAATACGGCTCAGGAGTTTCCAGTAATAGCATCTACATACAGACAATTACACAGGAGAATGCAGATTGTTGCTACGTGTTAGGGCTGTCAGTTGATTAAAACAAAAGAAAATGTATCTTCACTTGTCCCTGAACAAGTTTTATTGAAAATATACGCAACCGCAAACTAGCAAACTTTGAAAATGGAAGTACATCACAAAGCTCAGTGCTCAGTAGTCCATTCCCCTAACAAAAATCTCATTAATGTGACTTATTGAATTTGTCCCAAGATTAGTAATAACTTCAATTCCTGTCAAGATATGCATCGTTACAAAGAGTAGAAAGTTCATTGAACAAAGTCATGTTTCAGTGGCACACTAATCAAGCCACTGACACGTTAGTGTAATACTCATACAACAAGTCATACATCATGACATTAACTACATCACACAATCAACAAACATTTGTATTCATGGTCACATTCAGAAATTCCTCAAGAAATTCCTCAGGTAGTGATCCTGACCAGGCCGGATGAAGCATGTCCACTGGTAAAAAAAAACATTAGGAACGTCTACACTAGCAAGAAGATAAAAGAGAAGGTAATTGCATTGATATCATGTCAAAAGCTATCTGTCTATTATTTTTCTGTACAACAGAACTAAACATGACCCCCTTGCTTCTGTTACACTTGAAACTGAAAATTTCCATTTTTCCTAATTACTTTGTTTGACTGTAATGCATAGGGTTACATGTGCACATCACAACTGACTGTATGTTTGTTGTTTTCCAGTTGGAAGAGTGCTCTGCAAATACAGGTATCTCGGTGAGTCACGTCTTCCCTGTGAAGTGCTACCATGAGGAAATTGATACACAAGATGACATGGATGTACTGATTCTGAGGGCATTTAAACATATTGTGCAAATGGCAAATGATGCATTGAGATTGAAGTGCAATGAAAAGGAAAATTCTGAATGAAGTCTATCAGAGATTTTTAGGGTGGCTGCACCTCATTCCTGCACATTCTGTTAAATCAGGACACATTAATTGACACATTAATTAAAGTCACAAAGAAACGGATATAGTGGCAGATCTTTTCTTATGTATTGTAGTTGTAAAGCATTACAATGGGTTATTGAAAAAGGGGACTTGGTTTTATCAGTTGATGATTGGATGTTGAGATGTGGGTGTTGCACTCGGAAGTGGAGCTAGATGAGCATGAGTTTGCAGGAGAGGGGTTTAAGTGGATTAAATGATTGGAGAAGTCCGGCATATATCAATACATCAAAAAAGAAGGTCATTTTCCCCTAAAGATTCAGGTATGACATTCTGATTAAACATTACAAGGTCAAAAAAAAAAAAAGAAGAGAAACATATACATGGATGAATTGTTCACAATAAGATCTATAACATAATTCTATAAAAGACAATTTGCTGACAATTAACTCTTTTTCTTTTTGTGAATGTCATGCATTTTTGTCGTGTGTGCTTTCAGATTTTTTTGCATGCATGTATTAATGCGTATATCATATAATCTGAATTATAAATGGTAATCATAACATGAATGTATGCTTGTTGTGGATATTCATGTATGTGCTACAGAATTATTGGAACAATTTATTGGCACAATTAGCCTATTGTGATTAAACTGTTACATTTGAATGTATATTGATTATAACCTTAACACCAATATTACTGTAAGACGTGTTATAAACATATGTATGTTTAAATATGTATCTGTATGCAATGTAGCTTTAATTATGCAATGTATTATAATGCTCAATTAAAGGCACAGTATGTAAGATTTCCGTAATAAAATCAAATCTAATAATATAAAATCTAATAACCACTTGCACAGTGTTACATATTTCATGCAGTTGTACACTTACGTTATCCCAAAAGTTCCCAAGGATTTGTAAATCCAACCAACGCACACAAACAATAATGCTCCTACGAAAATTAGCCATGGTTATACTACAGATAAAACCAAAAAATTGCAGTTGTAGTTAAACCATAATAAACCACAAATAAACTCGGATTTTGCTACACTATAGTTTAACCATGTTGTTTAAATTTAGTATACCATTATACACTATGCAATATGGCAATATTATACCACACAGTAATATGGTTACTACACTTTTACTATAGTAAAACTATACTATAATGGTTATTTTTTGTAAGGGTGTTTATCTGTCAAATTCATTTAAAACTGTAAATTCAACAGTTATAAAATATGATCAGTAATAAAAAATGTGAAGACAAGCACTGGACCTCGGCAGGTTAGTGGGGAAATAGGCCTATATTTATTATTCAGAATGTATATTTGGAAGAGAAATATATCCATAGGAACATTTCAGCAGGTTGGATATAATTCATGTTAGAGAATATGACTAATTGTTAAAATAAATAATTAAATCCACCCCTATATCGCAGTATAATCTGCTTTCTCATAAGAAACGGTCTGGATGTACTCTAGGTGTGCTAAACGCTGAACGGAAACTCCCGAGCACGAGCAGTACTGAGTAGAACGCGGAAGTAGTTGTGCACATAGTCCATAAAACGTCTCGGTTACGTATGGTAACCCTCGTTCCCTGAAGGAGGGAACGGAGACGTCACGTCGGATGACCGACGAATTGGGATCTCGCTTAGAGAGACCAATCTACTTCGAGTGTAAACTAAACGAGCCAATGCACATTGGCATGCGATTATTGCATCCAGCTGCTGCTGATCACAGCGTGAGTATAAGTAGGCAGCAGATGCAGCGCATATTCAGGATTTCGCTAAGGAGCCGAGCCGGTGACCCAGCCGCTCAACGGTGGTACAGGAGCTGTGGCGACGGGACGTAACGTCTCCGTTCCCTCCTTCAGGGAACGAGGGTTACCATACGTAACCGAGACGTTCC